GGGGGGGGGGGGGGGGGGAAGGTGTAGAAGATCAGCAGAGAGGGGCATAGAGTAGACTTCAAGGATTGCAAAGTTGGAATAGCCAGCAGCCTAGCGTTATACCAGGAGCTCAAGTACCAAGACACTACAACTAAGTTTAGAGGTATCTGTCGGCTGTGTTCTTGGTTTGCCAAAAAGCATCCCCTCCGTGGCCTCCGAGCAGGGTTTTGGGCTTGGGGTTCAGGGTTTCGGGTTTTGGGCTTAGGGTTAGGGTTTAGAATTTATTCCCAACAGCAGGAGATATTCCAACACGCTGTTCAGATAGAACCCTGCATTGATCATCGTAGGTCCAAGTTCTGCTGAGACCAAAATGCACCTAGTTTTCTGCCAAGCTCCAGAAGGAGTCAGTTTGCATGCCAGTGATTTCACGGAAGCATTGCCAGGTAACAGTGTGGAAATACAAGGTGCCTCTGCAGCTGCCCCTCGAGCTTTAGGGTTTAAGGGCTAGGGTATTTAGAGTTGAGGGATTCAGGCTTGGGATTTGGGGTCTGGGACCTGGGATGTCAGGTTTAGGGTTTAGGGCTTGTCCATATGGGAGTTCTTCAAAGATTCAGCGGTCAATAGATTTTTCATTTTAAGGACCTCCCGAATGGGGGCCCCTATTTCTTGGAAGCCTCCACATATGTCTTGTGTTTTGTGCTTTTATACAAGGAAGCCAAGACGAACTTCACATTTTTCAGACAGAAGCAAGGTTCGGATTTCGGGTGTTGGGTTTAGGCTGAAGTATGTTATCCTTATGATAGCCCCGATATAGCCCTATCATGGTAGTTTCCGTTTCCTTTTCCGTTAACCCCGAGATAACCCCAATGTCCGGGTTGGGCCTATCTTATTATTGTTATGACTTTAATACTTGTTAGTATTAATCGTACTATTAGTCTTTTAAAAAGATTTGGTGGTTTTGATTTTGGATTTTCCTTTGCAGTATAGACCTTCTTGACCCCGCCAGCTTGTAAGTGCACTAGGAGTTTCCCTTTGTACCCTCATGGTTTGTACCCGTAAACCGTGGAATATGGGCCTTCATGTGGGTACTTTGGCCCAAACGCCAATGCTACAAAGCTGAGGGGTACGAAAATGAAGTAATCTTGGGCAACGAGGAAGCCTATGAGATCTACGCCCACCTTCCGAATCATCCACAGTGGTCGTCCCTACTTTCAGAGGTGCCTGTCAACCTGGCTCATTCAATTTTGCAGCTAAAGGCATGTGTAAAGGTGAAGAAAGAAAGTGAGTCTCAACTTAAGTCCTGACAAGGTTTCACTCGCCTATTAGATAGTGAGATAGTGTTCAGGGGCTGTAGGACGGATCCTGGCATCTTACGGAGGATGATCTTATTGCATATCATGTCGATGTTATCATTGCAGGTCTGCTTTAGGGATCTTACCTGGAAGCCCTTCATAGTGTTCCAGAAGGCTTGCTACACACCTGGAATGACAGATTGCAACAAGAGCAGGTTCTTGCCAGACTCAGACTTTTTCGAACCTTGAGCACACTGTTGCAACCTGCAAGTTGTGGCTAAGAGCAAACAGTGTCCGCAGCCCCCAGACAGCAAACAAACCGAAGCTTTTTAACTATAAATCACCCGTCAACCAAGCTTGAAGCATTCCCAACTCGGACGCTGACGAAAGTATACCCTCCGCTAAACTGAAGACTTCAATCCCTAAACCGATCGCTTTGAGAGGGACGTGCATGTGGTTCCATGTTGGCTTGCGATGAGCATCTCCATATAGAAAACGGTGGAAAGACTGTCAGGTCCAGGCCACGTCCGAAAACCTACTTAGGGTCTAGATTTTAGGGTGCCCCAAATCTCAGGCTGGAGGGGCCCACATTAGAACCACGTAATATGGCTATGTCTCTCATAGTTCCACACCACCGGTGCATGAAGCCAAGTCCTGCTCAGCCAGATCCTGAGCTGCTAGCTGATTGAAGTGATTGAAAAATAGACCGCGCAACAAGCATAATATACGATACAGAGAAGACACAATAGTATGAATTCAGCACGAATAATATCTCAGTAATATTCACAACAAGGAAGAATATCACATGAATGATATAGCAGCCATCAAGAGTCATGACGTGTCGTAACAACAATAATATGCATATGTAAACCCTAGATGCTAAACGCCAAACCCTGAATGAGTGAAATGCCAGGTGCTAATACAGCCCAAAACCATAGATCCGCCCCTTTTGGGGGGGCCTTTCATGAGGTTACATTATGTTAGTTCTATCTCAGCGCCCAGTACTTTCGAAAAAAGCTTTGGAACAGAAAGCGTAAACTGCCAGGTGCTAATACCCTAAAACCTTAACCCCAACAACCGAAACCCAAGAACCCTAAACCCTGTATCATCCATCCCTTACTCCCTTCTACTGAGTAACCCGAAGCCACTGGCTAGAACGTCCTTTAAATCTAAAGTTTAGGGTCTAGGGTGAATAGGTAAACTGCCAATTGGCAGGTGCCCCCTACAAACAATAGTAAGGGTAGAACAAGATAGACACTGACACGTCAAAAGGATAACCTTAAGGATGAGAGTGAATGATAACAGTAGTATACCACTGATCTTGGTCCAGTAGACCAAGAATGAAGGTACAAGTGGTACCAATAAGCCTAAACCCTAAACTCCCAGGTGCAGGTGTCTGACAACAGCAAGACCAGTACGTGGTCTCTCCAGGACTTGGGCTTTAGCTAACGTCTTAAACCACAAAATATCAGGTGCGGTATGATAGGGATATAGGGGTAGATGGGTTCTATAGGGCGTGGAGACGTTGTCTCCCAGTGTTATCTCCCAGTACTGGAGAATCAAATGGAAAAGAAGATAGAAAATGAACTGGCGACTAGGTTTCTATAGGGGTTGTGTGTACCCTAAAACCCCTAAACTCCTAATCCTGAAAGGCCTTGGGCTTCAGCTTCTCTTGGACTGCGGACATCACCAGGCCACTTCGCCTTTAGGGTATGCAGGGTTTGGGCTTTGTAACGTACAGTTTTTAGAGAGGTCTTAGGGTTCAGGTGCATGGTAAGGATTAGAGGATCTAGGTGTTGGGCGTTGGCTATTTAAAACGAAAATGGGGCCCTTACCTACCTCAACACCCCATGCTCGAGTCTACTGCCTATAATCATCATCGCAGGGGCTCCCAAAAAAGACCTTAAACCCTAAACCGCATTCAGGCTTAGGGTTTAGTTTAGGTTTAGGTTTTAGGGTTTAGAGAAACTCCGGAGAGTTGGTTTGCCCAAGCCGCGCCGACATGAACCCCCAAAAAACGCTACAATGGCTTCTGCCAGCTTGGACAAGGGCTAGACGTGTTTCCATGTTAGTTTGTGGAAATAGTCCGTATACTTTCCCTTTAGGATCCCGGATTCCAACTGTAACTTTTCTTTGCTTTTATAACCCGCGTCTAACCGACTCGGGGAACTTGCGGAATGTATAGGTGCTGTAGTGTTTGGGGTTTCTGATTGTAGCTGAAGTTGCAACTAGGTAGACATTACTCTGAACCTCCCGTAGGGTCCCATCCATCCGTGGCAAAGCCCTGCTTGGAGCTTCATGGGGCGTGCTACTTGTAATTTAATTGGATCATAACCCTACTTACACCCAGACCTCTGGGTATTGTAGTATAGCAAGTTGGGGATTCTACTTTCTAGATTCTCCCAGAGGTCTGGGTAGTTCGCAGGCAGATTCCAGCCAAACTGATTGGCTGGGAGAGCACCAGCGGCATGAAAAACGCAGGCGTCGCCAAGTTCCAGGAGCGAAGAGGGCTCAGGGAAGCCTCAGCCGCCGACACGTGCATGTGTATGTATACATGACAGAGAGACAATGCATGCATGCTGGATTTAGGAGAGATTAGGCTTCAGGGTCTCTCAAAACAGGGTCTTGTGGGGGTGATGACGTAGTTTTGGGAGTCCCTACCTATGAGAGATGGTATCAGCCAAAGAAGACACACCCCCATGAGATGCCTTCATCAGGGTTAGGCTGGTGTTGCTGCTAGGGTGTAGTAAAGACAGTATCAGTCTAAGCCAGAAATTGCAAAAAAAAACAGAATGATCGATCCTTCTCTGCAGGTCTAGAGGTAGGGGGATACGGATGTTCCCATATTCTCACCGTCTATTGTTTGATGGAGAGATTGCCAGGCAAGATTGCTGTCACTAGTCAAGCTTGGTGCCCAGGGCATGCTAGGCGTCCTCTACAAATGGTTCGAGCATATGCAGTCTCTTCCTGTGCCGCAAACCACCAAGAATGCGTTGCTGCGCCATGCAACAGCCCATTTTGTAATGAAAGTAGGCGGCCGTGTGAATTTGAGCGCCCAGTACATCTTTCAAGTCTTGGTCATGATGACGCAAAGGCTACAAACAATCTGGAAAGCCAATGGAAGTCGCACAACTTGAAGATGGCAAAAGAAGTTTTGCAAATCTCAAGCACCCTACTCCCGGCATTTGAACTCTTAGGGCAAGGGCTTACTCTCCAAACCTCAGTTCGCATCGGCAGGACTTGCCCCACGTCAGTGGCGCCCCCGCCTGCCGTGTTACGGTTTCGATGAGCTTGAAAACTCCATCGCTCCTGAGTGCCTTGGTGTAATGCTAGGGCCTTCCAAAAGGATTATACTGGTTTGTGTATACAGGGTTAAAAAGGGCTTTGGAAAAGACAAATTATGTAGGTTTAGGGTTAGTTTGGTAGCGGGAGCTCCTAGTCACACGCACGAAGCCCAGCTTCCGATCGTCAACCAGAACCAAGTTTTAACTTGGCGGAAAATCTTGCCAGTTCAACCGCAGACTTAGTCACACTACCAGGGTCCTTATTATTACGATTTGTATTTCATCAATGCTATTATTCATGGTGTAAAAACTGAGGCCTGAAACCCGCGATCACATGTAAGAAAACCAAGTCAAATGAGAACTTTGAGACAACCGTGGGGGCTTAAGTGGGATAACATTAGAATCAAATGGAGACGATATTGGACAGTGAAACGAAAACTGGATTTTTACAGGGGCTTCACTAGGATTGTAATGTACTGGGCCGCACTGCAAGGAAGAGTCTTTCAGTCACGTCGGCTCAGCGCCATGGCAGAGAGTGCCATTGGAAAGGACTGCGACTGTTCTGCGGTGCAGGTGTTCGGTTCTGGCCTTCAGATTTAGGGGTTTTTGGCTTCACTAGGTGGGTGGCACTTTGGGATAATGCATAACTTCCCCTTTTTGTTGTATAAGCAAACCTATTCATGTATATACATCTTGGGACGATAAAAGTGCCCCCCGTTCATTATTTTGTCATTCGCATTTAGAGCTGCACTTCTATTGGGCCGTTGAGGGGCCCAGCGTCATAGCCAACATGCAGCATTTTTCATGGCGTCCTCATAAGATGGGTCATTGCCCCCGCCTACAGTAACTGCTCACACAAGGGTCTTTTTTACGTCGAGTGTAACTTTCACTGCCCGTAGCCATAGCTGTTTCTGTAGGCGGGCTGTGGCACAATTTTGGCAGATGACTAACGAAGAAGAAAAACTTTTGCACAACATCAACTCCAAAACCCTGACCAGGAAACCACTGTAGTGACTGTGGTACCTCCTCATCGCAGGCCCAGGTCACCCCCACTTGCGCAGCTCCTCAACTCACGTCTTGTAATGGTTGTTGACAGATCTAGACCTCGGGTCATTCCGCCTCACTGTAACTGTGCTTATCGGGCCTAATTAAGGGGCTAGTAAAGGTCTTATTCCCCATTGTGCTAACTGTCACTGTAAGGGGGGGGCATGACCTAGCCCCACATGGTCCCCACAGCCTGCCCTCATGCATGCAGCAGTATTAGTTACTGGTGTTGGTGAGAGTAGATTTGGTTCCCTGGCGGTCTTGGTATATGTGCGTGTTTCTTCACATGTGATGTTTACGTGGGGAGACCGCGTAAAAACAAGTAGACTCCGTCCTCCAGGAGCCCTAGACCTTCAATCGCAAAGTAGGAAACCAAAATACTGAACCCCTCCCCCTAATAAACCCCACCGCCATCCCCTAACATAGTACAATCCTGTGTTAGCGAAAGAATTTATTGCAGGGGGACTGGCGGGTTCATCATCAGCTGTTTCCAGATCCTTTCCAGCCCATATTTAATAGCAAAGAAGATGGAAACTAGCAGACTACACAGCGATTTTCCTATTCTTGTCTATAATTAGAAGCCCAGAAAATTCGAACCCTAAACCCACAAAATCTAAACCCGAAACCTTACGCCCTCCCCTGAACTCTAAACCCAAAACCTTGTGGTAGAAAATTCCAAGCCCGCAGGATTTGGACACCTTCCGCGAGGTTGTCCTCGCGCGGAAGGCAACCGCCAGTGCATGTGCCGTAGTCCTCGAGAGGCCGAAGGTGAACAACACGTTCCATGGATGTGGTTTAAGGGTTTAGGGTTATGGTTTAGGGTTTAGGGAGAGAGCGTTTGGGGTTTCTCAAAATAGAAATACCCCTGGACCTAAACAGGGTGGATTCTGGATATATATGGGCATTGTGACGAGAATATGACGCCACTCAGGATTACACAGCGTTGTTTGACATTCGTGCCGCTTGAAGTCAAAAAAACTGCTCAAGTCCGGTCATTCCCCCTCGTAGTAACTGTTACCAGTACCCCAGTGGGTTATGGGAGTTATAATCGCCCCATTAATAAAACCCCTAGAATTTAAGGACAGTCACCGTGAGGGGGAATGACCCAAGGTTCAAGTTTCCCTCTTGGGAAAAGTGCAGTACGATGCCCCCCAGAGCCAGGTTCAATTCACATTTAGGCCCCGAAGCCCTCAAACCCGCAACCCCAGACCCTGCAGCCCAAAGCCAAATCTCAAACCCTAAGAGAAGCAGGCCTTCAGCCACCAGGAGAACCGAAATTCACATGGAAGTGTCCAACGGCCTAAGCCTGATAGTTCTTCGCAACGAATCCACATGCTACCGCTTATACACGTACGCCCAGGTATTCCCTCAGAAACCATTGGTGAAACCTGGAGAAGCTTATCAACATCACCATACAAACTAACAGAATCAGATTCTGTTTTTCCACAGAACCATGTTGTGCATAGTGGCCCCGAAGTAGGGCCCCTTAAAAAAGAAACAGTCTTGACAGCAGCGAGGAGTTCATGGGCTTCAACAGGATATAATACATACCGCATAGGTAGCAATCCACAATTTGCAGTGCACTTGGTACTGTGCGGCAAAGCCGACCGACTTGGTATTCGATCAATCACCGGTCAGGGCCTAATCCGCGAGGAACTCTGCCCTCCGAACTTTACACCTTAAGCTTCAAGCCCTGATAGCCCTTCTTACTCATTTCTGGTATGTGAACTGAGGTACAAGGATAACCTTGGCAAATGCGAGCTCCTCGTGTGGCAGGACTGGTTTCGTTTGATCAGACTTACTAGGGGGGGCATCCTTTCGAAGGAGGTACTTTGGGAATTAGAATCTTCAGAAATACCACGGTTTGGCGGCATGTGAACTCTAGGCAAGGTGAGATCGAGCTGCTTTTTCCACGACTTTGCAGTATGACTTCGCATTGTTAGAGCCAGTTTTGCAGCGCGCGCTCAGACAGAGGATGGAAAGCGCTTCCATGGCAATATTGCAAGCAATAGCGTCGAACTGTTCAGCTTACCGTGCCATAGGCTTGACAAGAAACATTGTTTCCTCTATGGCTTTTGAACATCTGGCCCTGCGAGCTTTTGTGGCGACATCCACAGAGCCAGCAACAGTAATGGGCGAGTCTGATGATAGCTCCCCCTATCAACCAGGGACTCTAAATGAGCAGCGGTCCAACGTTTAAGTCGCAAAAAGATGTTTAGAGGGCCCTTCCCGGGTTGTTTTTACATTATCCTCCAGCTTTCCTCAGCTTTCACGGAAAGAGCTTGCTCTACTTCCGTCCGCTTTTTGCTATTCTGACTGGGCAGAGTTCTAAATTCGCTCTATTTGTTCCACACGGTCTCCTGTAGCAATAATATGATATTTTTGGGTTTAGGGTATAGGGTTTAGGGGATATGGCATGGCAAGGACGGCCGCCTGGAGATAGAGCTGCACGGCTTGGGAACATCGGACAACACGCGGAAGTTGCTGGAGGCTCCTTGCTGCTGTGGGGTCATATATCCATGTTGAGGAGATGAGAGTTTCACCTGTGAGCATCGTTGAATTCTGACTTGCCTGCTGCAAAGATATTGCTCTTTCGACAGGCCTGTATGACTTCAGGCCTGCGTAAGGTGTCTGAGTCTGCCGCAAGATCTCACATGCTACAGTGCTCTAGGAATGCAGCCGCTCCATCACTGAGTTTGGCGACTCTGTTCGTTGCACAGCACTGATCGACATGAGGCGAGGTGTCTTGCTTCCGTTCAGCAGGTGCGTTGTGTTATTTCTATTTATCCTGAATCCCAGAGCAGATAAGCTCGAAGCTCGACGAAGCAGCCAAGCCTGCTGCTCCGAAGATCCCGAGAATAGGTATCGTCCCCCTTAAGTAGATAGAATTCGATTTGCCCAAAATCACGTTCAGATCCCAGTATACCCCATGTTCTATCTACTCCAGGGGACTGTAGTTGTTTGGGGAGCGGAAGGCTACGGGCAGTGGAGGAACCCAATAGACTTCATCCAAAACACCCAACGGGGCCTCCAATGACCTTATCCGGAGTGTTGGGCTTTTGGGTTGAATAGTGTGCGTTGCTGGCAACAAATTAAGCTAAGCTACCATGATACGGATATACAGTAAGATCTCTGAAGTCCTGTATAAACACGTTTCCGTTTCATTTTCCATTTGCTGCATTTGATTCTCCGATATTCTTTCCTTGAAGCCGGAACATTAATCTATCCGAACACCCTAAGCGCCTATGTAATCGTTGCATGACCTTTCTGGTAGCCATGCCCAGTAGTTGGGTACCAAGGTGTCGGATGCTCACCGCTGGCCGTGCCAACGATTGTCAGCTTCTTGCAGAAGGACTTATGGGTTCCCCATTGGGCTTCCTGGGGTTTTGGGCTTAGGGTTATAGAGGGTTATGGCGCTTTATAGGGGGGGTATATGGTATAGAATCCAAAATCATTGTTGTCCTTTTTGTAGGGATCCTCGGAAGACACTCCTAATTTTGGAAACGTCTCATGGGTTCGCCAGGGTGGTGAGGAGAATCCAAAAATCACAAAGGCACGAGAAGCCCAAGCAGCACTGATTGTGATCATGCAAGGCTTCGGTCAAGTAGACCTGAGAATCACCAGTTTGTGTGGTGTTTTGTGGGTCTACTTGGCTTATCCGATCGGCTCAAAACAGATGGTGGGTTGTCAAAAATCATGGCCGCGTTTTCGGTGCCTATTATAGCACGGCCCCTAATCTTCCAAATAGGAGATGATTTTTAAAAACCCCCAATTCTCTACCTTGCCAGCCATGTGCCTTTGAGTATTCTCTAGCCCACTGGAATCTTTACTTTTGTGCCAAGTGGGCCCCACTGTCCTGTACCCCAAGACCCATTGCGATCTTTCAAGTCTTGGGACACGTCTACCCTCGGAAAGGGATTCCTAACTCTTGGAACCCCAATGTACTGACAGCAAAGCCATGGGCTTACTTTGGATTTGGCAAGACTTGGGCCTTGAGGTGCGCGGGGACTTTGTCTAGATGCTCCCCAATACTTTGATTGGAGTTGTACTGCCTAAACCCTCAACTTTAGGCTCTACGACTTTAAACAGAACCTTGCAAATGACTCTGCTAGTGTGGTGGCAGCATCCAAAGTAAAAGAGCATTAGTTTGGGGTGTGCCCGCCCAGCAATGGTGGTACTACTATAATGATATAAGGAAGCTATAGGGATCCCGACATGACTATCCCTTGTGGTCACTATTAGTGATGAGTGAGTGGGAGCCCAACCTGATATACAGCGGGTTGCTTCTCCATTATTGGGGTAATATCCCTTTTAACCCTATGTAATCCCTTTATAACCCAATATAAGCCGTACCTGGTGCATAATCTCTAATGTACATTAGCAGGGACCCCAATGTTTTGGAAAACCCCAAGTTGGTGAGTGGCCAGGCTGCCAACGTACCATGCTCAGAATCTGCACGCCAACTGAGATTCAAGTGAGCTATAGTCTAAGCTCATTAAAGGGGGTTATATAGGGGATTGTGTGGGGGACTATTAGAGAGATTACTAAGAGGGATGCTAGGAGTTTAGACTATGGCTCAAGTGGGGCTAAGAGTTTGAGAGTTCACGGGGTTAGGTTTTGAGAGTTTAGGTTCCTTCACACGCAAATAAGCCCGATTGCCATTTCCTGTTCCATTCCCTTGTTCTTTTCCATTTGATTTCCCATTATTGGAGAACAGTGACCCTAGACCCTACATATCCCGGTGTAATCTCTATATCCTGCCATGCCTCATCAGGGCTTAGTGTTTGGGTTTCCTCTCTTGTAGCAAGTAGACACCGGTAACGGCCCCTCAACTAATTACTTCACCTACCTGTCCAGTGGGTTTGGCATCAATTAGGAAGATTCGTTTCAATCTAGAGGTGAACTTGGCAAAAGCCCTACATCCTGAAACCTAAGTCCTAAACTTAAACCCTCCATAAACCCTCAACCCCGGATAGTGGACGCCCAAGATTCTTACTGCAGGACGGTGGAAGGATCCTTCACACCGCGGTTCTGGGACCCCGCAGCTTCGGCTCGTGGACATTTTTATAAACATGGCTACCCCCAGGACCCTATAAGGATATGTAGGGTTTAGGGTTTCGGGCTTCGGGATATGGAGGGGTTGTTGGGGATTGTAAGGTTCCAGGAATTTGTGAGCCTCTAGGGATATGGGATATGTAGGGGTTGTGTGTAGGGCTGCCCCTGGGGATGATGTAGCGATGGTCTTGGGAAGCTCCCATGTCAGAGTTTAGGACTGCAGGCTGAATGTGTCAGAGATCCATTGTGCGAGGATGCGTTCATGGTTTAAGAGAGAACTGATTGGGGAGGGGGGTTTAGGCTTGAGGTTTAGTTAGCAAGATCCTGCTAGCAATTTTCGCTGCAGCAGAGCTGGAGAAGTGAAGGTGTTTATCTTTTGTGTCCCTGGTGAAGTCTTATTGACAAAGGATGGTCGGATAGTTGGGGAATCTCTTTGCACTTGGTCGAATATGACATGCTGAATGGGCAGGTCTCTGGACAAGCTCATGCAAAACCGCCAAAGATGTTCTGCTAACCCTGCATGGACCTACCTCACAGCATCAGCATCAGCACAAACAAGTCGCGCCCACAATAAAGCACTTCAAGGTCCGCTGATGGCCCTTGCCCAGATGATTTCCCGCTTGGCAAGACAAAACGGCGTGGCTTTCTTCTTCGACCGCCAGGAGCGCAAAATACAACATGCTCCATGAATTAGGGGTCCCTTTGGGTGTCACCATAGTACGGATCAGAATATTTAGGGGTCTGCCTACTTCTGGACACTGCCGTATGGTTGAACAAGGCTTACTTGAACTTCAAGAAATGCCTGCAGGAAGCGGAAAGTTGGTGTGCTGAGCCAGTACACGAAGTCCGCTGACACTTGGTAGACCCCAAGATAGACCCTCAAAAGCTATAATCCTTCTGAGAGAGAACCCGAAACGGTACCTAATTTTGGGTGTCTACCACTTGCATCAGGTTCTGCTTCCAAGTGGAGCGGAAGGTCAGCGTTTACGCGGCTAGTTGACCAAGTAACGCACATCTCGCGGCATAAGCACATGTTACAGTGTTGCCAGCGGAGTCGTTTGACGCGGCCACACCCACTTCGTGTTTTAAACTGTTTCACCCTTATGTTCGGAAAAGCTTATGCTGGGCACAAACCAAGCATAATTTGACTTGGGAGCCCAAAGTACCAAGCAAGTGCGAGCTGAAGGCAGCCTGCTTGCTCTTGATATCACGACCATGAAATGGGGGCAGGAGATGACGATGGGGCTTTCCCTGCCTAGGCATTATCCCGTGCTTCTTCTGAAGCCCTGTCATTCTTTGGCTTCCTCCCACATTTCATGGGTGAGGAGGGCTGTTTGCGCAAGGTGCGAACGTGACAGGCCCCCTCGTCCCTTTTTTTCGGAATTTTGGGCATGTGGGTGCCTCGCAAGACTAGTTCCTTTGGCGGCTATATTGCTGAACATGGAATAGCTTCAGATCTCAATAAGTGGGGCGCGTCCCTTGGAAGCTACCCATGCGGCGAGCGTGTTCGCCCATGCCTTACATCAACTCTGGGCGCCCAAGAGAGCCTATCCTGGATCCTTGGATCCTAGTCATAGGCACAATGACATGTGGAAGGGTCAGCGGCTTCTTCCTATAAAGCCACAGTTTTCTTGCAGGGATTGACATGATAGAAACTCAGATCCCAGGGGAAAAAGCTGCAAAAAGCGTTATCTGAGCGACAAAAGCGATAGATGAAGCAGTCTGCTGCAATTCACAGTTGGTTAGTTCGTGGAATAGTTAGCTGATGATTTAATGTTCTTCATCTTATTCATATGATATAGTTCTTAGTATATATTGAATTCGAAAAGAGTTCAGCAGCTGAACAAGACCAGAGCTCTCTCTCGCTCTCTCTCTCTCCCTCTCTCTCTGTACATGTATATGTATAGACACAGAGAGAGAGAGATATACATATATATATATGTATACATGTATATAAACATTGAAGCTAGGCAGATTTCGCGGAGTTCCGTGGATGGGTTTATGGGCATCCCACAAAGGAACGCTGACCGTCGGGCATTATGAGGCCCGCAAACCTCCCGCTGGCTCTGGCGGCAAAAAGACCTCGACGATGGTTAGGGTTTAGTTTAGGGTGTTGGGGTTTCGGGTGTAGGGTTTAGCGCTTGAGGTCTAGGTTTATTATTTGTGAGTGAAGTGATACTGTGGATGGAGGACATCTTGCACCACCTTCTATCCCTGCAGCGCCCTAGGAAAACATACACTGTAGGGCTGACATATCAAACATGCAAGGAGTGTCCCCCAACATGCTTGCCATGCAGCTGGGGAAGAAAATAGTGTAAATTGTACATAATGTTGTGGTTCTTGCGTAGTTTTGGTAAGTTTGTAAAGGCTTCGCTCAGAGTCATGGTAAGTACATATATGAAGTGGTCTTCGGGGGGAGACCATAGGGAGTCTCCAAAAATCAGTGGCCCTGCAACCACGATGCTATTTTATTAGGTTATGTATTAGGTTCCCCCTATGTCTGGAACCAGGACCTCCGTCTTCAGACGCGGCCCTAAACCCCAAATCCGTCTGCAGACTCCTTCGGATGCCTATCCATCGCCCTGGGCTGCCTAGATACCCTGCCTTGAAAAGGATATATTGGCTTCCAGGATTCTGGAAATTCGGATCTTTTTGGTGGTTTAGGGTTTAGGGTTTAGGGTGGGTTACATATTTCGTAGCATATAGAGAAAGGGGTACCCCAGAAGGAACCAGTTTTGACTCCCAATAATCCCTGAACGCTTAAACCTGAGATGTTAAAATCCCAATCCTAGTCCTTGAAACCTACTCCATAAAAATCTCGAAAACTCTGAACCCTGAAATCCTAAACCTAATCCCTGAAGCCTGCTCCCCCCCATGGCAAATCAAGGCCTCCAAGCATACAGAGACTGCAGGGCGAGTGGACATCAGCGGCTTGCGCCCCAAGGGATTTTTCTGATTTGTAGGGATTACTTATGTCAAGGGATCATGCAGAGATTACAAGGTTATGTAGGGATTATCTAGGGCTTGGGATGGCTTAGGCATATATAGATATCTAGACTTTTACAACATAAGGGAGAGAGATATATGAAAATGTAGATGCCATGTATACGGTGTAGTGCTATATTGATGGCAAACGAAGTGAGGCTACTGTACCGGAGATGGAGTATCAAATGGCAAAGTTCATGGAAAAGGAAATGGGGTGGTGTAATGACCCTACGCCAGAGGATTGTGTCCTGCCGACGAAGCACCAGTAAGTAGTATCATATACCAAGTCAGACTGGCCCGTCAACTATTTGAGCCACAGTCTAAACTCCCAGCATCTCCCTTAATAACACCTGTAATGCTCCCCCTATATAACCCCGCCTTTAGGGAGTTTTGACTCTGGCTCATATCATCTCCTCCCTGTTCCTGATAGAAATAATCAATGTTCCATTTGGGTTTGTGTAAGAACCCCTGTCCTTCATGCTTGACCCGAAATGTTTTCATCGATTCATGTTCCTGACATCGTGTTCCAAGTTTTGGACCTAATCGTTTTTGTTTTCATTCCTTTTCCTCTTATCGCTTTTCCAACTGACTAAGATACCCGACATTTGCGCTTCAAGGAACATAAGCCTATATCTTTCTTATATAACATATTCCCTTATTCTCTACTGATCCCCAGTACGGCTAAGTCCCTAACAAGTAGGGGTTGCAGGCAGACGCCGGAAAGGTTGCCAGTAACCCTTGTAGCCCACTCATACTGATATAAACCCCTGTCTTCAAGATCACCCATGAGAGACCTTATATATCGGGTAACATATTTACTACTAGGTGGAAGGGGATGCTAGGACAGACTCCGCTTCCAGTCAAATAGGTCCCTACTTTAAGAGAGAGGTTAGGTTTTGGGCTTTGGGTGTGAGGTTTTAGGGGTTGAGTTTGGAGTGTGTCAATTCCTGGTGGATCCACAATTTGAGACTTACTGATACCTTGCTAGCACCTTAATCATTTACTGTATGCTTGGTGTGCGCACGGACACCAAGCACATGTCAAAAACCCGTAGCATCGCGTTCCAACATGCGCGCAGCATGTACACCGGCATGCGGGCCCAACAACCCCTGACTAGCTGGAAGTGGCATTGGCATCGAAACCTGACATGATCACTACTATCTGATATGGGCTGCTGACGTTACGCCTCAATGATGACCGAAACACATCGAGGCTGACAACTAAGCATGGCTTACCTTCTTGAGGCCTTTTTTTAGGGCTTGGAGCCTCGATACGGACACCTAAGAAGAACACAATAGCAGTACCACCTGATGTTAGTAATAGTCAATAGAGGCATGGATCCCTATATTAACCCTTGGAAAGAACCCGATGTTCTTTTCCATTCCTTCATTCCCTTCACCCTAAGCAATGCGCATATGTGCACAATAAGTTTCCCTTGTCTTTTCCATTTCCTCATCCCCTACTGACAAAAAGCCTAATCGTGGATTCCAATTTCTTTTCCATTGTTTTTATATACCTTTCCATAAACCTAATGGAGGGTTCAGATTATAACCCCCCCCCCCCCAACAAGTAGAGGGATCTGAATAATCCGGGGGGCCCAATCAAGGTCCTGAAAATTTGTTTGGGGGGGATCCCAGAGCAACCCATAAACCCTACGCCCTAAGCCCTCAGGCCTAAGGCTTGGGATATATTTGC